AAAAAAAAAAAAAAAAAAAAAATTAAGAAGCTCCTCCGTCTTATCCTGAGCCTGAGTGCTAATGAGAAGATCTAAGCAACCTTTTCTTTACTTTGGTAGTTTGATGAAGAGCCGGACAGTGTTGTGAATACCATTACAGTACAAGATCAGACACACCCTGACCCTCAAGAAAGTTCTCTCCTTCACCCGCTTCACGAGGTGACCCCACATATTTCTGAAACTGAACTTGCTGAGCAACCCACCATAAACGAAGCCGACCAGCAAGTTGAAGAAATCGATGACTCTGAAACGATCGAGGTCCTCGAAGATAACGGCGCACTCAGACCAAAAGTTAAGAAGGTCCGTAAAATTAATGAACAAATAGAAATGATTCCAATAATTCTCTTGAAATGACATAATCTTTTTAACTTAATCTCAGTCCATCAGATAAAGATTTGAAAAAAGAGCAATTTACCAGCCAATCAATTCAATTGAACGTGGGACAAACTAAGTACGGATTTTAGGAACTTAGCCTGGAGCGAGAAGTGATGGTCTTCTGGGTCCAGTAGCTCAGTAGTAAACTGGCCACTCACAGCGAAGATTGAGTCGTTATTTGAGCATCTTGAAAAATTTGGCCAAAACTCTTCAAGCTCATCATTTGCAATCTGTTGAAGTCTTCTTCATCCTCAGCCATCCTTGTTCCCTCTTGGTTTATTAGTGTCTCTTTGATGTTTTTCTGTCCTACTGAATAAATATTTTGTATTGACAGAAGACAGTCGTATTTCCGGTTCTCACTTCTCTCCGCAACCGGAAGTATGTCTGTGACAACCATAGGTACATCAGCAATCGCAGGCTACACCGGACCTGTTGACGGTTATCGTTACATTGACCGTTCTCATATTTTACTGCAGGGTGGATTTTTCTCTAGATTACGGAGAGTATTTCGAAGGAAACCGAAACAAGGCTCTGGAAGAGAAAAACGGGGCAAGAAAGAAGTTCAACGCAATAAGAAGTGTATTAACGATCCCGAGCCCACGGAGGTTGTAACTGAGGTTACTGAGAAAAAAGACACAGATCTTCACCTCACCGCTGAACTGGAAGGAGAAACATCGGCTCAAGAAATGATTGAATGCAACGAAACAGTAACAAGACTTTAAAGATTAACTTGTTACACAAATATTAAGCAGAGATTTGTAAATATGTATTATAAATATATGTAAATATAGGTAAGGTATTTTTTAGTTTTATTTTGTGGTTTTTTGTTTTTTTTTTTTTCTATGCAAATGTTGCTCATTGAGAATTAAAAAAAATGAGACTGTTATTCAGTTTTGAGTCAGTTTTCTTTGCAAAGGAGCGGTAAGGATAAAATATTTTATCCCCTTATCAAGGACCCCTAAAATTGGAGAGCGATTGCACTGTGGGAATACATTGCTGATGTGCTCTGTAGCCCCCTCTCTCCTTTAAGATTGTCCAAAAATGATTCTCTTCTTATGTAATCAATATATCTTCAAATGTCAAGGTGACAAGAAGAAATAATTTAGGTACTCAGTGTTGGATTAAAACAAAATTCTCAGAGGTTCTCCATTCTTATGATGGACAGTGCAGAGGATAAAAACCTTTAAGTGGTTGCTAAAAGAACTTTGCTTGGCTCAAGAAATATTAGAATTCAACATCTATTTGAGTATATTTTGATTTTGAAGAAAAACAGTACTATTTCCTTTTTTATATTTTGATCATTAAGTACTACAAAAAGAGAAAGCTTGTTTGAAGTTTATTTCTCAAACATTAAATATACAGAAATAGGCAACACAACAATACTATACAAAGTGAGATTAGTTTTTCTAAAGCTAAAAAAAAATATGATTTCAGGTCATTTAGTTTCATTAGTATAGCTTTAAATGGCCAGTCACTTTGTCTATTATATCTACTGGCCCTGCAAAACAAAAATATACAAATGAATAAACAAAAAATAAATGATAACAAATCAACCTTAAAAAATGAAACAAAAGAAAAGTATTGAGTGAGACCACAGAAATAGAAAAAAAAAAAGAGAAACAAGGAGTAAAGGGAAAAACAAACAAAAAAATTCACACAAAACAAACTACTTAGAATGTTGATGAAAACGATGGAAAATGACAAAATGTTTGATCACAGGTTCACCCCTTCCTCCCAGCTCATGAAGCAGGCCACACCAGCAGGGGCACACTCACTGACTCAACCTTGGCCAGTTGGGGACAGACTCAACCACTCTAGGTCTCAGTGCAAGACACCCCTCAACACATTTCCCAGCTAATTTTATTTTATTATTTTATTTAGAGATTTACCATAAGGTAGATGTAGAAACAATAGGATTCTAGGTCCTCTGCTAGGTTTCTACACCCTAGAAGCCTAATCCCATCCCATCCCAGGGGAGGACATTCACCACACAGTAATCTCGTGTGTGGGAAATTAACATCTCCTACCCCTAACCCTGCAGGAGATGGGACCTACGGTTTATTCGTCCTTATCTGAGAAGACTAGAATATCTCTCCATTTCTTGATATTATAGAAAGGTAGCACATTCTCCTCAGTTATTTTAAAACCCTGAGTGTTGGTCCGGCCGGGGCCTGAACCCTCGACCTCCCGCACAACAGTCTGGCGCTTCACCAATTGAGCTAACCAGGAGGCGGTTTTTGCACATGAATGGAGAGAGGCCTGGTGAATCTAAAGAGTCTTTCCCAAGAACACAATACACCACAACTTAGCCATGACTTGAACCTAGGTCCCCCGATCTCAGTTCCAGCACATTAAACACAATGCCCCCTGCTTCTCCTGCCCAATGAGAAAGATTCATGTAAAATAAAATCTCTTAAAAGTAATTATTTACCAGGTCCTACACCAAGAACAGTTTTAGAGCCAGGAGCTATCTGTGTCCTGCCTGCATCTCTAATAAGACAAGTCTCCAGACCTAAAGATCTTCCTGTTCGTGTCAGCTCCACTCTGTTAGATTAAGATAAACACAATGAAATATTATCAGTTAACCCTAAGAGTGACTGGCTCCTAATTTTTTCCTACAGTATTATCCTTGAATTAAATACAAAGGTTACAAGACTAAAGAAAATAATCCAGGGGTTTCATTAAGGGCCAGGCACCGGGCAAATTGACCAGTTGTGAGGACGGCTTTGCCCACCTGATTTGACCATCTGGAGGAAAGTTTATCTTACAAAGAAGTTCAGTTCAAAGAGTTTTGCCTGCCTGTGAAAACCAGTTGCCCTTCTGCAAAAAACATTAATGAAACCCTTGATAATCATCAATTCAACAAGATTCAGATTGTGAACCAAATTCTCCTTTTCAATACTATAGGAAATGTAGAGAGAACAGTGTCAAGAATATGAATGCTAATATATATATATATATATATCTCATTAGACGTTTTGTTGTCTGCAGTATCACAGAGTATTTTTACAAGTTGTGCCGTATTTTGAAGAGCCTGTAAGGCAACTCAAAATACAAACAATGAGTGATACTACACAGCAAAATGTTTCATAAGAGATTTATTATCCAATGTGCCAAATTGTTATTTCAATGCGGGCAAATTTCGCAGAAATTTCTGGAGTAGAAATATTGCAAGATATTTGTAATCATCTATGAAGCACATTTGGAAAATAATAGGATTTAGAGGGTTTTAAAATCATTTTATTCTCCAATCAAATGCACAAAGTTGGTATGGAAATTACAAAATGTCATTACTAGGAACAGATGCTTCCAATCTAAAACAATGGGGAATAGAAAAGCAGATTGGGTAAAACCAGTTTAAAATTTGAACCTTAAAAGAGGATCTCATAATATAGCTTTCTTCACATAAACGCATAGTTGCATAATGATGATTCAACATGTCTTACACATAAAATTGAGCATCAGGGGAAAGTGAATCTTTTGTTTAACAGTATAAAAATTTAAATATAAATTACATACAACGTTTCCTCATCTGGGGCCTTCACAACAACTTTGGCACATCCTGTTTGGTCCCATTCACGTAACAGCTTTGTGGGATCAATAAAAAACAACAAGAAGCATATATAAGACACTACAAGAAAAAGAAAGTACTGTAAACCTGTTGCGGCTCAAAAGTCCGGACTGTTGCTTAAGGATGTTTTCAAGTATTGGAGACCAAAAACAATCTGCAGCCTCCTATGCCAAATTCTCTGGCTACAGTTTGATGACCTGAGTTTTTTTACTCAGACTTAGAGAACATTCTTTGTATTTTTCTCCTGCTACCACATTTCTTTATATATGCTCTATTTAAGACCACTTATTGGCCATATGGCTAAGGTTTACTCAAACCAAAAAAAGGTGTTATCCACCACATTTTGCAGGTGCCCAACCCATAATTAAAAAAAAAAAAAGTTGCAAGTGTTATTTTATCGTAGCTTGTGCAAACCACAGAATAATATGAGATGAATAGGCCCAGTAATACCTTTGGGTTGCTTGTTTCCATTTGTCTACAAAGGCCAACTGCTGCATGACAGCACTGGAAAGAATAAAATATATGCAGGGTATACTTAAAGCTTATAAAACCATTGTGAGGAGAATTGAGGAAAAAACACACAAATGAAAGTAATGTTGTCAACATAAAAAAGAATCAGACTAGCTTAGTAAATATTCTTGAAAGTTTTGTAACATAAGATATGTAGTTTTTATCCTTGGAATTAATAGACTGAGACTATTGTCATTATTATCATTATAATACTGAAAATCTAAATGATTACCCAAACACCCAGTGGGTTTGCCACAGATTTCAGGCAAGTTCCCAATGATTTGATGATATGGATATGCAAGCAAACTGTGAAGAAAATAAACAGCAATTTTTTTGTTGCTGTTTACCTACTTGAGCTGCAACTTTTCCTTTGCCCATTCCAAGATCCTGTCTTACCACTAAAACCATCTTGTATTCGCCAACTGCATCTAGATTCAATATTCCTGGCTAAGAAAATAAAAAACACAAAGTCAAACACATACCATTCAGTCTAAATTCCATTGTAGTAACTCAGATACAATGAAATATATGAAGTTCATATATTTTGAACTGCGGTATTAGATACGTATGATGCACGATCCTCGCAGTAGATAGCGCTATTTAAGCAATAGCGAAAATCAGACCTGAAAAAAATCAGGCCTGTACGGGATTCAAACCACTGACCTCTGCGATACTAGTGCAGCGCTCTTACCAATTGAGCTAACAAGCCAACTGGGAGCAGGCCGTTAAGTTGATTCGTAATAAACCCGTGAAAGTGATACATCAGATACAATGAAATATATGAAGTTCATATATTTTGAACTGCGGTATTAGATATGTATGATGCACGATCCTCGCAGTAGATAGCGCTATTTAAGCAATAGCGAAAATCAGACCTGAAAAAAATCAGGCCTGTACGGGATTCAAACCACTGACCTCTGCGATACTAGTGCAGCGCTCTTACCAATTGAGCTAACAAGCCAACTGGGAGCAGGCCGTTAAGTTGATTCGTAATAAACCCGTGAAAGTGATACATCAGATACAATGAATCCCGTACAGGCCTGATTTTTTTCAGGTCTGATTTTCGCTATTGCTTAAATAGCGCTATCTACTGCGAGGATCGTGCATCATACGTAGTGTAGTAACTCTCCAGGTTTAAATTATAATATAAGATGAATTATACCAAGATTTTTATTTTTTTTTTTTTCATGATCAATGGGAGGAAAGACCCATTTCTTTTGTCACCATTATCATCATTTTACTTTTTTATCATATAAACTAAATAGATTCCTGTTGTAGTGGGTAACAGATCACATATCACAGTAATAGATCAATATAACAGATCACTGTAACAGATCACATATCACAGTAACAGATCACAGTAACAGATCACATATCACAGTAACATCACAGTAACAGATCACAGTAACAGATCACAGATGATGTCAAAATGTGTTAAGAACATCAGTGACACGCTGGGCTGTACCTTTTTGCCTCTTTTTTGTTCTTACCACATTTAGAGGTCATCTGTGATCTATTGCTGAACAAACAATTTGTTTGTTAATTGAACCATGTTTGAGGCTACAGAAACTCTTGTATGTCATATTTTGGTATAGATGGTGTTTTCCCATAATAATATACTGAGTCTTAAAAAAAGAACAACTTCTCAGAAAATATTCTCGCCATAAAACATCAAGTGCAAATATAGCAGAGGTTGAATTACATTTTTTCAATGTGTGAGTGTAGGGGTGGGGAGGGGGAGAGGGGGAGGGGGAGAGGGTGCAGGGGGAAGAGGGAGATATAAATGCATATGAGACATCATGTTAAGACAATTCCCTTAGCCAGTATCAAATAGTGTATTTTGGCCAAAATTTCACTGATTTCTTCATTTTTGTGTGAGTTTAGGGGTGGGGAGGGGGAGGAAGGAGAGGGAGAGGGGAGAGGGATATATAGATGCATATCACACATTCATATCAGGCCTGCATTCATATGTTAACCTAAAGATAAAGAATTTAAGGAATTTAATTTGTTCGCCACGGGAATGGCAGGAGAAAGGAACAGAACTTTCGTCCCAATTGACACCTAACCCCTTTGTACCCACCATCCCACCCCAGGGAGGACATCCACCACACAGTAATCTCGTGCGTGGGAAATTATCAAATAGGGTATTTACGCCAAAAGGTCACAGATTTCTTCATTTTTCCTTTACCATAATATAAAGTGACATGTTTCCTGTCGAATCATGCTTACAAAATTAACATTCTTGAACTTCTAACTCCTCGGCATGCCTTACCGGTTCTTTGACTGTTTCTCTCTGTCCTCTCAGAAACCAGCCGAGAAGACTGCCTACTATGAAAGCTATTAGTAAAATGACAGGTCCACTTAATTGTTCCATATGTACCACAAATATTCAGTTACGTCCTCTATCCTACAATTTAAAAAGACCGTTTATCTCTTCTAAATATGTTGAAGAATTTCAGTTTGTTTAGGTCTATGAAAATACAAGCCTGTAGTTTTTCTTAGCAGCGGTCGGTCACATTCGCTTCGTGGGCTTGCGCATATATTCTATTCAAAAGCTGCTGAACAATTAAGTCCCGCGCAGTTCAAATATTATCAAAATAAGCACTCTTAAATTTCTGCTGTCTTTCACTAAAATCCCCGTGATCATACCAGAATTGAACGGTTTGGAATCACTGAAGAAATTCGTAAACACAATCATTAAAATGGCAGTGCCGGTCGATCAGGTGAAGGCTTTGCATGAAGCTGGGTTGTTTTCAAGCTCTAGAATGTTGGTGAGTCTGTTATTTGAGTTTGTGTTTGTGCTACGATTTGGACCCATGAGAGGATACTAAAATTTTTCCAGATCTTTGTAAAAATATGTGACAGAGTCGGGGCCTACAAGATCAGACCACCTCCAAAAATCCTTGAAGGGTTTGAGGCCAGCTGCCCGAAGCGTTCGTTTTTTCACAATATGCTTTTAATGTAAGCATCCTCGATCAAGCCTATCAAATATTTTAGTTTGAGGACAATTTTAGTATAAAGTATTAAAGTTATATATGTTCTCACTTAGGTGTCCTACGCTTAAATTTTCAGCATTTTCTTGAGCGTATGCATTGTACTTGCGTCTTTAATTTCATTTCATCTTTTGGCTGAGATGAAGGTTTGAAGTCTAACGATTGTCTATGTCAATAGATCTAGCTCTTTATTTCATACCTCAAAACTTTTTTTTTTCCATTTTCAGGCAAATTTTTTGTTTTCTGCAACTGAACATAGCAATCAGGATAAATATGATCTCAGTCATATGGTTAACAAGTACCAACTGTTGGTGTACTTAGCTGATTCATTGTTTGATGATGAACAATACAAAAGAGCAGAGGTATACAAGTTTGATTGAATACAAAATTTTTATCATGACTATTCATGCCTGTGATTATTACCTTGGTTTAAGTCAGTGCTTGGGCACAGTTAGCTGATACATTTCCCTCTTCTCTTCCCATTATTAGAAAGTTTACCCCTTTAACTCCCATGAGAGACCAAGATGTAATTTCTCCTAAAAATATCAGCGAGAATCAGAACAGTAAACTACATTACTTAATTCCTGAAGCCCATAGCCCTCATTATAATTTAAGGTGCCAAAGAACGTACAATGTACCAGCAGCCAAGACAAAGCATTTTGCTAATTCGTTTTTCGTGAAGGGTGCGGCTGAAACCAACCCAAGTTGAGATGTAATAGAACTTTTAATAGAACTTTAAGTCATCATATTTTATATTTGTTTAGTAGTAGCTTGTAAAAATTGTGCAATTCAGTATTTTACTGCCATGTGATTTTAAAAAACCAGTCTATCTATCTCTATCTACAATATCAGCATGTGCATGTGATGAGAATAAAAACAAATATCATCAGGGGATTATTTTTTGATCCAATACCAAATTCTCTCAACTAACATCATGAGAATTGTATGGCAGACAGTAAGAAGAATTACTATTGAGATCTTGGCAGTTTGAAACTTTGACTGCTTCAGTTGAGAAAATCAGTTAAATGTTATTATATTATTATTTTTTAATAATTATGCTTCCTTTGCCTCTAAAGCAATTTTATACCAGAGCTTTACAACTGAAGAAAACTATCATCAAACACAAACCAAAAGCAAGTCCACCCTTGGTAAGAGTTTGAAATTTTCAAAGTAAACATTTTTATATGTGATTGTTTTACACTCTCATTTTATAAGCTTTACTTCTACTGTTGTATAACTGAAGACTCTAAATGATTGTATGATCTTGTGGTTGTGTTTGGTTTTAATTTCAGGGTCTGTTGTCAGAGGTTGAAGTGAAATACAAGATGTCGCAGTGTTATTTACATCTGAAGGAACACAGAGAAGCAACAACAATTGTATGTACTGTGAAACTGTATTCCTTTTGAGTGAAAAATCAACAGAGGGATCTTTGCATTGTGTCTTTGGGCAAGACAATCTATGATGAATAATGAAACCTTTTATTTTTTCAACAGTTGGAAGGGATATCCCAGAAACAAAGATCACCAAAGATAAATATGTCTCTGGCTAAACTGTATCAAAGACAAGGCATGGAGAGGTACTATTCACAGTTAATCTTGATTACAGCTAAACATGATGGTCATAATGAGAGCAAATACACTTTTAAGATGTTTCTTTTTGTCAGTTCTGTGAATTTGCAGTGTTTGCTTAACAGTAGGAAGCTTTCTTTGGGTGCTGTGGGAAGTAACATTAGTGCATTAGATCAACTGACCCTGTAACCAAATTCTTACACTGTATCTCCTTTTAGAAAACCAAGAAAGTATCAATTGGTATTTTGTGTTTGTTCAACAGGTCTGCTATTTCATGTTACAAGGAAGTGTTGAGGTAGAGTTTCTATACTTCCTTTGTTGTTGAATTTGAATGCCATGGATCTTGAAGTTTGCAGTAAAATGGGGTTACAGAAGTACTTTGTAATGTTCCACCTTGATCTCTGTTGAAAGTTGCTTCTGAGTGAATAAAACAAGAGAATACACACTTGTATAGAGCTTGTACCCAAGTTCTTAAACTTGTACCTGTAGCATAACACGATACTAATCCACCAAGAAATTTCTGGGAAACTGGCCATCAGATTTAACTGGTGAGAGACCACTGAGCTTCTAGAATAATACTGATTGCCATGTGTCATAAATTTAAGGGTGTGTCCTTTAGCTCTAGAAGCTGTGATTGGTTTGTTATCATTGGGTGTTCCTGGCTCTGAAGTAACATCACTTACTACATCATCAACTCCAGGAATGGACTGGTAAAACATTGTTTGAAATTAGTTCTTTACTGTCCTTGGATTTGTGATGAAGTGTGTTTTGTCACCAGTTATTTGTATGTTTAGTAAGAGAGGGTTCTGTAACTCCTAAAAATAAATTCAAATTTTGATTTTTCCCCACCAGGCTTGGTTCATGGATAAAAGCACAAGTCTTGGCAGCATCAGGGAAGCATGCAAGTGAGCTTATTGACTCTGTTTGCTGATGTTTCGATCTTGACTGACAGTTTAATGAATCCAGTTTTCTTTAGTGTCCAAAATCAGAAATCGGCTACCAGTGTCCGAAACTGGAAATTGGCCACTAGTGTCCAAAATCAAAAATTGGTCACTGTTGTCCAAAATTGGAAATCAGGCAATAGTATCCAGACTTTCATGCAAAAAGACATTCAGCACTGTAGAATATTCTGCCATTTCACCATTCCATTAATCCGTTAAACAGGTTCATTCTGTGTGAGGAATATATCTGGTAAAACTTGGCAGACTTTGTTGTGGGCTAAAAGTGTCGTTTGTGCAGTAAATGGCTTGAACCCGGGGGTAACATGTGAAGGTGTAGTCTGATCGACCCGGACGATCAGACTACGCCTTCACATAAGTGTCGTTTGTATTCTATTGTTACACTTACTCACTAACTCACATAACAGGACAACATTATGGCTTTGCCTCCATAGGAGGAAGTAGCCATAAAAAAGACTTAAATCATAACCAAGTTTTTTTCACTTCAGAGGGGGCTCAAGCACTGAAGAGCTTAGAAACACAGGTGGATAGTTATGAAATTGTTTTGATTTCTTTCTTACAAAACAAATGCACTCTTGGGTTTTTAAATAAGGATGTTGATGAACTGATGCATTTTTCAAATGTTTGTTTTAGAGCTTGCGTGATAATGTGGAATTACTGTGCAATGCTGCTGAGATGTTTTACAATGCTGGGGATTACAATAATGCCAAGTCTTTCTTCCAAAGGGTACCTTGATGGAAGCAGTATTTTTATGTTTTAAGAAATGCTATGTAATACTACAGGACTAGAAATAGTATCTTAAATGTATCTCTTTTGAATTTGATGCAAGATGTCCTATTGGATTCTGTCTCTTAAGATTCCTGTCTTTATTGAATCTCAAATCTTATTCTCCTGTTATTACGTTTAAATTGATATTCTATATACAAGGCTAAAATATTAGGGAAAAAATTATTAAAATGTTTAAACCAAACGTTTTGGGCTGTTTGCCATCATCAGGGTTGAACCTGATCAGGCAACCCTGATCATGGCAAACAGCCATGGCAAACGTTTGGTTTAAACATTTTAATAATTTTTTTCCTAATCTTTTAGCCTTGTATATAGAATATCCTTTATTAAGCGAACATTATGGACACGTTTAAATTTGTTTTGAAAAACATGGTGGGTAGTAAGATTAATGAAGTCAAGATCTGGGAAGTGCCTGTGAAGGTTGTTGTTGTTTGTTGTTGATTTGTTTTTTGTTATTTTGGACTGGATCTGAATCTTTTCTCACCTTCCCTTCCCTCTCTCTACATGTTTTTCCCTCTGAAAAATTCCTCACTTTTTTCTCAATTGTAGGCTCATTCACTGGACCCATTCACTGTCCAGGGTATGGACACTTACGCATTTTTGTTGTCACAGAGTGGATGCAGTAACAGTGATGGACTTGAGAAGTAAGTACTATACAAACTTTTGCTTTAGTTTCATTTAAAACGCTTTGAATATAAATGTAAGAAAATTATACTATGGAGGGATCACAGGCCGGGGGGCTCGAACCCTCGACCTCCCGCACAACACAATCCGGCGCTCTAACCAATTGAGCTAACCGGGAGGCGGTTAGCTCAATTGGTTAGAGACCTTCCCCCTACCCTACCCCCCTACCTATCCCCCTTACCTTGACAAGAAAAAAATCGAAACAACCGGGCTAATAACATGCCAATAGATGTCTTGGACGCCTCTCATTATACTGGAAAATCCTGTTTCCAGCCCCGAAAACTTAACCCAGTAAAAAGCAAGATCTGACCGGTAGTTCTCCCATCCTGTTTGCTAGAAGATGTTTTTTAAATTGTGAGGAGAAGTTCCGTTTTGATATTTTCTAAGAGCTAAAGGATTAATCATACATTTTGACGGCTCTTCTCTTGCAGCTTTTCTGATGCACCATGGCCTTCAAGCAGTGATTTCCTTGGGGCGAGAAAACTTTTTTCTGTTTCAACTGTGGGTATTCAGCCTGTAAATAAGAGAGGAAAATAAATCTTATTTTCATTAAATAAATGCTTTTGAAAAAGTATCGCTTGCAATGGCTTTTCAATGGCATGTCATGGCTTTTCTCGCCACAGAAAATGTTGCATGTTTTAGAGAATACGAAGAGTAAAAACAAGTGAAAATATAATAATAACATTTACAACAATGTCAGGTGACAAAGTTTAGAAAAAGAAAAACGAACCATTTTCCTCCCCCCATCCCCCGACGAACCGCCTTATTTTGCTTAACTCTTTAAAATCTAATTGATATTCGTATTCTCTACACTGTTTTCTTCACATTCCCTATGGTACTTACGGTATCCACCGCTTTCGCCCCCCTATCGATTTCGCCCCTACCTTATACCTTGTTCGCCCCCACACTTTTCGAGCTCGACCCCACGAAGTCGAGTTCGCCCCCAGATTGAGTAATGTCAAAATAAGTTTCTTACTTACAAGGGGAATTTTTTTTGACAATGAAGAGCATATTATATTAGTAATAATTTCCTTTATTCCCGTGAACTTTATATTTGATTAAAGGAGATGCTGTAAGGGGAATTTAGAAGCCAGTCACTGTTAGTGATTAAAAGGTTAAAAACCATTTCTTTTTTTTCAGTGACGTGCTTTCAGAAGCTGTATTTGCTAATAGTTTGTATTAATTGACATTTCCTTTAACGAGGAAATAAAAGTCAGATATTGGACTATTTCTGTAAGCTTGAAAAAACATTTGAAAAGTTGTTTTTATTCCCTTACTCAAGAAGAAAAGATCACGATACTTGCTTTGCAAGAAAGAGAAGTGTCATGGTTTCTCAGAGGCTCAAAACTGAGAGGAGCTGTCGTTTTGCAACCCAAGTCGAACGAGGAATTAGTTTCCTTTTACGCCATTGGTTGTAATCTTCTCGCCCTTATCAGGTTGTCTTGTTTAAGTACTCTTCTTACAAATTTATGTTGGTGTTTTAGCGTTTCTTCAAGAGCCGTGAGTTCATGCTCTCGTTGTTTCTAATTTCTGTTCATATTACATGTTGAGTATGTACACCATTTTATTCGGTCATTTTAGCAAGACAGCTGACGGACGAGTTATTTTTTCAGTAGAACTCGAGTTCTCTTTAAACATGAAGAGCCTATTCGATCCTTTGTTAATATTTGCAGCAGGTGTCTCTTAACCTGTTTTGAAATTCAAATTACTCCTTTCCTTTCTGTTGTCTTGGTTTCTTCAAACAATATACATGCATATTTAATAAGCAAACGTTGAGATATTCACCAGGCCGAAAGCTTTCAATTAAATCTTTGTCCTCGATAGCTAAAGCTTCGTTTGATTTACGACGCGAAGCACAGCAGAAAAAATTCCTTATAATCCTAGAAACTCGCTGAACATCGACAAAGCAGCAAAGTTTATTTCTTTGGATTTGCAAATAACTTGGGTGAATTTTTTGGGACGATATCCACAACATGGGGAAAGACATCGTTCTCGGCGAAGACTGGCTTATCACACTGTCTGTTATTTACGGCCTGGGAGCTGTTTTGTCCGTCTGGGCGACTATTCTGTCACCTATGCTACTCGACGTTTGGGACACGCCGCAAGGACAGAAGAAGAAATCAGATCGAGACTGGTCTACCATTTTTCTGGTGCTCCTGTTGCTGCAACCCGTCACGTTTGCTGGATCAGCGGTCGGAATGTGGTGGATCTCTGCATTTGCTGTTGTTCCTCCGGCTCATTTTGTACTGACTTTTCTATCCTTCTTGGCCATCGACTTCTTTCGTCCGGAAGACGATGTTTTCAGTAAATATAAATACTCTGTTCTCTCGTGAGCGATTCTTAATCGACCAATGTTTCGTATGCAAATAATTTGTAGTTTTCAGCGTTTTTCATTTGATTTGCGCATGCTTTTGACAATGTGAGTTTATGTGATGTGTTGTAGCTTCATTATTTTAGAGTTTAGTCCGTTTTTAATAAAGAATTGTAGTGTTGAACGAAACATGAAAGTAATATAAAACATACACACTTTTTTCTGTAGCGGAGTTTGTAATCGAAAGTATTGATTATCTTTCACACAGTTTAACACAGCGATTAATTTAACTTATCAACGTCCTTCTATACCGAACGATTTTGTCGCCGACAGCTCAGATAGAGCGTAGAAACATCATTAAAGCTTGATGCTCCAATTACATGGCCTCCACTTTGGAAGAACTGAACTTTTAAGCTTATTTCGCAAGAAGGAACAATAAAGGATAATTAAAACTAATGAATTATTGATTAAAGACAGCCCTCTTCTGAGAAAAGAGATCACCTCTCTTCCATGGGTATCATCCGTTTTATGGTTCTGTTCTGTGACGAGAAGAAAATCATGTTCTGGAAAAATTCGTTTTTATTATCCGGAGATTTCCGAGTTCTGTTCTTAAAGGCGTAGAAACTCCCCAGCTTACGTCATACGGCAACATTTCCACGCATACCACCGTGGGCTCATTAATAGTCAGCTCGCACTTCAGAGTCACATCACGTGAGACACGTTTGCTCAGAGACTTGACCTCAGCGTCCCAGGCGTTCAGTTGATAAAGCCAAACGAAATGGCAAACGGCGCGATATTAAACCTTTAACCCCTAAAAGCGACCAGCGACTAATTTCTCCTTACAATATCACCGCTGAATCAAACACTTAAGGTCCTAAGAATAATGAATATGATCAACAACTACAGAAACTCTAGACTGATAAGCAAATTCTCCTTGTCAGCATCTTAAGAAATGTATAGAGAACATAGGGTGTAAAGGGTTAACGAAGGAGTGAAAAAGTGAGGAAGGTTAGGGTCGCGGCTCGGTTCACTACGTGTGGCCCGACCCAACCTCTTTCGTTTTTTCACTCCCCCGCCGCCATGTCTAGCGCTGTTTCATCGCGCTTGGTGTTACTAATTGAACAGCTGGAACAGGTTACGGAGAGTCCGCTGTTCCGCCGTTGCAGAAAAGCAGCCCACGCCTCTTTTTACGGGAGAATCATAAAATCAAATTAGTCTTGCAGTTTCTCTCAGTTTTGTTGATTTAGTCTACTAAGCATTTTATTGGAAACAACATGAAACAAATACCCTCAAGCTAGAAAATGAAAAATTTTTTAATTTTGTTCGATCTCATAATCCACATGGTGGGCGAAGGGCGGGTTCGCAACCACCATGCTGGTTTAAAAGGTATTCAAATTTCCTACCTCAGTACGCGAAAAACACGATCGGTTATATTCAACTGTTTTGCCACGAAACAGGCATACTCCCTGAGGGTTACAATTAAGGAGAAATGAAGAGAGCCGAGAAGTTTTGGGTTTTCATAGGACCTTTTAAAGGCATTTTAAAGGTATGATTTCACAGGTGTTTGTGTATGATTTTTCGGCATAAAATGCAGAACTCTGGCAGAAATTTTCCTTTTACTCTTTAAGTTAAAGAGGCCACTTCAAATGAGCAAACCAGTCTGAAAACAAAACACGCAAAAGTAATTAAAAAGATGTTTGCTGCGGAAGCGCGAATATTGTTCATAGCTGTTGTTTTCAGTTTATGCTTTAAGAAAGGAAAATACAGAAAAAAAAAGCATTTATTTATAACCTATTGACGCAGAAGATCTTAGCAAGCTTGTACCCTCGCTAAAATTATCAGGCTGATGATAAATATTTGCAAATTCAACATATGTACTTTTTTATTTCTGACATTCACCACTGGTTTTGAAAGTAAGTTTTATTTTAAAAACAATCTTCTAGGTAAAAAGCTCTTCATGTTTTTTTTGTTTTGTTTTCATGCTTCCTAGACTTGTTCAGGAAGAACTGATAATTGAACAATGGGTGATGTTCGAACGTTTTGTTATGATCACGTGCTTCCGTCACTTTCTCATGAAAAGGTCTTTTTCATATCACTAGCACCACTTTATGTATTGCAGCTATTTTAATATTTCCTTTTCCTGCTTGTGGAAAATAAGCCAATAATTGCAGGGATAATCCGTCTTATCGCATCCGACTACATGGCAAATTAATCCTCACAAAAAAAGGCTCTTTTTTATCTCTCAGGTCATAAAATTCTAGTTTATACCAAATGTCAAGCTATAACCCTTTATTTGATCTTGTTAAAGAGCGATTGAGTACAATTAGAGGGCTTGTATTGCCTCATTTAGAAGTTCATTACACTTTGTAATTGCGAAGAAAACTTCTGCGGAAATTAGTATTATCATTGAAACACTTAGGGACCAATTTCTAATCCGTACGGCAATTTGTGAATTTTTCATTTCTCGTGGGTAGTAACAGCATAGTACAAAAGGTGTATACCTTTCATTTTTCATTTCTGAAAATTTGTCTTTAAATTGGATGTAATTTAAACTGAACATCTGTTGTTGATGTATTGGTTTATCATCTTATCGCCCCACAATGAAAAGAATTCATTATTTTAATGAATGTTGACCAATTGCCAGGCGATCAGAGCCGCGTGTGTTTTATAAAAGCACCGACTAGTAACAGAACGAGACCAACGAATGATCAAAAACACACGTTTACTTTCATTTATCAAGTCGAACATCAGATCATTGTTCTAGAAGTACCTCAGGTAATACTTCGATAAATTGCCTTTTAAAAGTCCTCTTCAAAAAATTTAACCAAACAGCAAGGTAAGAAATCAGTCTTTGTTTGCAAAAATGCATTTTCTGTAGAAATGTTTTAAATGGTTTTTGGTAGACATGAATAGGGAAAGTGGCATTCTGGTTTTGAAATAGTTCAAAACTCTGCGTCAGTGAGTGCTCATTTTGAATCAGCGAAACCAAACTTGTTTGGACGCTTTGAAGTGAGTTTTCTCTTAAAGGACAAAAGAACTTTAAAATTCAAATTAAAACAAGTAATACTACTATATATACTACTATACTATATACATACAAGTTTATATATCGTTACTGCTTCGGCGAAGAGACAGTTCATATTACGAGAGAGAAGTGTGTTTAAAACTCGGTGAGTGTTCTCCATCGGCAGCTGATACGGATTGGAATTTAACTGACGATATAGAC